CCCCAGGTACATTATTGATAGCACAATCCTCTAACTTCAAATGTAAACTGTCTGGCAAAGTACTTTTCCAGCAGGGTGCACCCTTGAGACATCAGAAACAACCCAATAGTCTCTAAATCTAATGGAAGGCAGACAGCTGGAGAGCAAGAGTGATAATGACCTACTGGGCAAGAGGTCTGTTTGGAAAAATTAGGTGTACCTTTGTCCCTGCAATAGGGTGCAGTGTGGCTGCCTCATCCCACCTGCCCTTTGAAGGAGTGCACCATCATTCTGGGAAAGACATAGATGAAGATAATTGCCCTCTGAAGTTCATACTACACATTAAAAACCCTCACACTGAACCACCATTGAAAGAGGCCATTATCCCCTCTGGATAAGTGAGACAGTTGATTAGCTTGATCTGTTTGGGAGGCATCCAGGCAGTGGAACTGGGACCTGTCCTCAGTGCATGAGCTGGCTGTTTGGAACCTGGGGCTTATGCAGGGACACTTGGCTTAGCCTGGGAGGAGGGGACTGGACCTGCCTAGACAGAATCTACCAGGTTGAACTCAATCCCCAGGGGAGTCTTTGCCCTGGAGGAGATGGGAATGGGGGGTTGGACTGGGGGAAAGGGGGGCAGGAGGGGGGAGAACAAGGGAATCCATGGCTGATATGTAAAATTAAATTAAATTACAAAATAAAAATTGATTGATTGATTAATAAATTAATTAGTTAAAAAGGAAGAGGCCATTATCAAAAAGACCCAAGGCAATTAGTTAGGTATTCGTGTTTCCTGGGGCTTGGTGAGCTAAGGAAAGGCCAGAGCTTTGTTGAGTTTTCACACTTTGCCTTTTATTGTATTCAAAATATGGGCTGTTTGTTCTTGTTTGTTTGTTTGCTTGCTTGCTTGCTTGCTTGCTTGCTTGCTTGCTTGCTTGTTTTGAGACAAGGTTTCTCTGTGCAGCCTTGGCTAACCTGGAACTCACTCATAGACCAGGCTGGTCTTAAACTCATAAAGCTCTGCCTTTGTCTATCTCCTGAGTGCTGGGATTAAAGGTACACACCACCACCGCTTGGCTTGTTTATACATTTCTTATCACTGACAGTTAGAAGAAAATCAATATTCTGGGTATGGGAAAGCATCCTGACCCCAGCCTTACACCATTGTCTGTCATTTAACGGTAGTGGACTCAACAACAGCATCTCCTGTGTTTGTCCTAAATCATTACTTTGTGGGCTAAACATATATTTAAATTTCTTCTTAATAAAATGATTTTATTTCACACACACACACACACACACACACACACACACACACACACACACACACAATTCAAAGCATTGTTAACATCTACCTCTCCACTTCCCTCACCCCTTTCCCTTCTAATCAAATCTTATGCCAAGTAAATACTATCATGCTGAGGACAGCAAAATGCTCTAAGGGAAAGGAATAGTGTGGCTGCTCGACAATGGACAGGTTACTAAACCTTTAAGCCCTAAATATGTTCAGGGATAGTAATACACCCTTTATAGAATTGATGTGCAAATCCATTGAGGTTGAGGTCACTCACATACAATCTCTGCATCTAATAGGCAGCCTATAGTAATGATTACTGTTGTCATTATGCAAGGCTGTTGGTCAAAATCCTTATAAATGTGGCATTTGTGACATTAGTCAAATAGAAGATTCAGTCTGAAAACTGGGAAAAAACAGTGCGTGGCAGAACACCTTAGTCCCTCTCCTCTAAACAATACTTTGGTGACTTGGTTTTGGTTTTGTTCTGAAGACTGTCTTGGTCTCTTTGCTCTTCTATAACAACAGCAGCTTCTAGTAACAGAGATGTGTATCTCGCCAGTGTAGAAGCTGCTGTGAGAAGATCAAGATGGCAGCAGATCCCATGGCTGGTGAGAGCGATGGATGTGTGGATCACAGGTGGCATCTTCCCGCTGTGCCCTTAGATAGTAGAAGGAGAAAATAAGCTCCTCTCAAACTGAAGCCCTGTACCTAGTAAGCAATGGTTCCAATCTTTATTCTGCCAGCTCTGGTTCCCACTCTTCTATTTTCTGTTTCTAGGAATTTGCCTATGTTAGGCATCACTTGTAAATGGAACAACAGAACATTTGTTCTTTGTGTGTGACTTATTTCACTTAGCATAATGTGTCAAAGTTCATCTCTATTGTGGCATATGTCAACATGTAACTTTTTTTTTTGCTTTGTTTTGTTTTTGTGATAGTCTCGTGTAGCCAGTGCTTACCTTGAATGCTTGATCCTCCTGCCTTTACCTCCCCTTCTGACCACAAGGAAGATTTTCAGTCAGCTAGTTACATCCACATAGGGATAAGCCAATAGTAGGTTGAATGATTCTGTATGTAGAGAGACTTCCTGCCTAGCAGGTCCTAATCCACAAATGAGAACTGGAGTGACTCTAAGGTACAGACAGTGTGTATGAAACAGAACAGGGGCGGAACTTACAGAAAAAAGAAAAAAATCTAAAGAATGTTTTAAAATGTACTATTTTAAACAAATTTGTAAATACATTCTAAAAGCACCCAAGCTTTGAGCTGTGATAATGTTGCACTATATTGATATGAAATTATTCCTATCTTCAAATTTTAAGATAAGACTAAGAAAATACGCCCCTCTATCTTCTCTCCGTCTGTAAAATTGCAAGGCTCAGCTGCTTATTTGCCAACCCTGTTGATGATCCTTTCTGTTGGTCAAGAAACTTGGGAAGGAAAGAGCCTAGGAAGGAAGAAG